GATTACTGTGATATGCTGGCTGATTTTGAAACCGCACTCGCCATCATGAGTGCGGGTACTGAAGATGCCCGTGAGCGTTGTATTTTTTTAAGTGAGCAGACATCGCAGGAGCTACAGCTAGAGGAGCAACTAGCCACTCCGGAGAGTGACGAGTTTGTGGAGGATGACAAGAAGTTCAAACCGATCTCATCCTCTCCTCGCATCACCACCTCTATGAAGAAGCCACAAGAACTGGAGCTAAAGCCTCTTCATCCTCACTTGGAGTATGCATTTCTTCGGGAGGGGAACAAGCTTCCAGTCATCATTAGCTCGACCCTCACACCCTGGCAGAAAACCAGACTAGTGGCCCTGTTGAAGTAGTACGAGCGAGCTCTGGCATGAAAGATCACTGATATTCGGGGGATCAACACTTCTTTCTGTTCCATCAGATATTGCTAGAGGATGAGATGCGGCTAGTGAGGCAGCCCCAGCTAAGATTGACACCGAACCTGGAGGCAGTGGTTTAGGCAGTCATTGTGAAGTTGATGGATGCAGGGATCATCTTCGCCATTTCTGACAGCGAGTGGATCAGCCCCACTCAGGTGGTGCCTAAGAAGAGTGGGATGACCGTGGTACCCAACGAGAAGAACGAGGTCATTCCAATGTGCACGTTGACCGGGTACCGCGTCTGCATCGATTACCGTCGCCTCAATAACGCCACCCGGAAGGACCATTTCCCGCTGCCTTCAATTTACCATAGGCTGGAGAGGCTGGCGGAACACGAGTTCAACTGTTTCCCAGATGGGATATCTGGGTATTTTCATATCACCATCGCACTGGAAGACCAGGCGAAGACCACCTTCACCTGCCCTTTTGGCACATTTGCTTAGCGGAGAATTGACACGCTAAAACACAACACCTAACAATGGCCAAGTGTAACCAATGAAAGGGACTGCAGTATAGTGGCACAAGTAATAAATATCAAATCCACGGGTCTCTAGAGTTACTATTACTCAGCTTCAGTTCATTATCTAGCAGACTAGATTAAGGATTGATTAACTAAACTACTCTACTAACTAAACTAAGTAAAACTACTAATTACAGTTTGGGAACTCACTTAGGTATGATTCCCCCTAGCTCCTCAATTAGGTCCAAGTTGTAATTCCTTTTGGTTGTTTTACTATTGATTAAACTGCGGAAGATCCGACAGTAGCTTGGAATCTCTTAAGCTGACCAAGCCCTCTCAGTCTAACTACCCGGCAGACGACTAGTCTTCACCGGGAAGAAAGCTGAAGCAGTGAGCACAGAACTCCACTACTGGAATTGAATTCCAGTACAAAGCAGTAAACTGGCTAACTCTCGTATAGCCAATATCCTACTACCGAATGATGAGACTCTAGCAACCTAATCAGATTCTATCTATCTCAGATTGCAGCAGGAATCAGGAAAAGTTGATCAGACTTCAATTGACTCAATAAACATGCATCATTCGATTAAAATCAAACAATATAGCATCCAAAACTTCATACAAGAAAGATCCTAACTCATGGAACTAGGGTTCCTCAAAACCTAAGTGAAGGGAAGTTACTCCATAGAGAAGAGAGAGACTGTAGAAATCTGATCTAGATCTTCAATCTCCATCTCCAAGCTTGATTCCCGAGCTCCAATGGCGAAGAAATCCTCCAAAATAGCTCCAAGAATGTTCCCAAGTCGCTCTCTCTCTCTAGGGTTCGTCCCTTGGGTGTTTGGGGTCCAAAACCCAGCTCTCCTCTTTCCTTTGGCTGAAAATTGGGTTTTAACCAGCAATTCCCGACTCACACGGGCAGGCCGCACGGCCGTGTGGCTCACCCAGTTGCCCGTGTGAGTCAAAACGCGCCGTATCATTAAGTTGAAATTCAGGCTTCCCACACGGCCAGGGTCACACGGCCGTGTGGGATTTCCATCCTGCCCGTGTTTGCTCTCGGCGAAACTCGCACGGCCACTTTGCTCCTCCACACGGCCGTGTGGGATTTCCATCCTGCCCGTGTTTGCTCTCGGCGAAACTCGCACGGCCACTTTGCTCCTCCACACGGCCGTGTGGAAATTACTTGTGCCCGTGTGAAGGCTCGCATAATCCCACACGGCCAGGTTTGTCACTTGCACGGCCGTGTGATGGTTATGTGTGCCCGTGTGGCTTCCTCATTGGCTTGCCTCGCGCCCGATCTTCATCCAATCGACCCCAAACTCGCTCCCAAGCCTCCATTCACGTACTAGGACCTGAAATATCACAAACAAGCACAACCTAGCGTGAAATCGGCCTAAAACACGAGAAATCACATCTCAAACGGTGTAAGAACAGGGGTAAAAACATGTGTAATTAACGGTCTATCAAGAATCCCATTTGGGCTTTGTAACGCCCCAGCCACATTTCAGCGATGCATGCTCGCCATCTTCAACCGACTGGTGGGAGAAATCATGGAGGTGTTCATGGACGACTTTTTCGGTTTATGGGGACTCATTCTCACACTGTTTCCATAACCTGGAACTCGTCCTGAAATGGTGTAAGGAGACGAACCTGACGCTTAGTTGGGAGAAGTGCCACTTCATAGTTCGCGAAGGCATAGTTATGGGGAATAAGATCTCCAAGATGGGGATAGAGGTAGACAGAGCCAAGATTGATACAATCAGCAAGCTGCCTCCTCCCACATCTGTTAAGGGGATCCGCAGATTTTTGGGCCATGCAGGGTTTTAAAGGCGGTTCATAAAAGACTTCTCCAAGATTGCCTTGCCCTTGATGAAGCTCCTTGAGAAGGATGCCCCCTTCCAGTTCACTGACGCGTGCACAACGGCATTCACGACCTTGAAGGAGAAGTTTACTCATGCTCCTACCATGGTCACTTTGACTGGTCTTTACCGTTCGAGCTTATGTGCGACGCCAGTGACTTTACTATTGGAGCTGTTATGGGGCAGAGGCGAGATCAGCACTTTCGTCCTATCTACTACGCCTCAAAGACCCTTAACGATGCCCAGGAGAACTACACCACCAAGGAGAAGGAGCTGCTCGTGGTGGTGTTCATCTTTGATAAGTTTCGTCCTTATCTGGTCTTGTCCCATGTGACAGTATACACGGATCACTCCGCAATATGGTACCTGATGAGCAAGGTCGATGCCAAGTCTCGGCTCATATGATGGATCTTATTACTGCAGGAGTTTGACATCGAGATCCGGGACAAGACGGGAGCTGAAGATGTTGTTGTTGATCATCACTCCCGGTTGGACGCACCTCCTGCGGACAACCTCGAGGAGGAGATCAACGAATGATTTCCAGATGAGCAACTGATGATGATGTGCTTGGTGGAGAGTGTCACGCCTTGGTACTCCGATTTTGCAAACTATCTGGTGGGCCAGCAGCTACCCAAGGGGATGACGACTCACACCAAGAGAAAGTTCTTCTCCAAACTGAAGCATTACTTCTTGGATGACCCGCATCTCTTCACGATCGGAGCCGACGGGGTCATCTGTCGATGTGTCATGGAAAGTGATATGGAGGGCATTCTGTCTTATCGCTATGGTGTCACTCACAATGTTTCTATGGCCTACCCCCCTCCCCCCACCCCCCAAACGAGTGGTCAGGCCAAGCTGACGAATCGGGAGCTTAAGCGCATACTGGAGAAAATGGTGGATCAATCTTGCAATGATTGGTCCACCAAGCTCAATGATGCTCTCTAGGCATACCGGACTGCCTACAAGACGCCAATTGGTACTTCGCCGTATCGGCTTGTCTATGGAAAGGCATGTCACTTGCCAGTGGAGCTAGAGCACAAGGCCTTCTGAGCCCTTAACCTGCTCAACTTGGATGTTAGCCTTGCAGGTGCTGAACGCAAATTGCAGATGCTGGAGCTAGAGGAATGGCGTTACCACGCCTATGATAACACCAAGATGTATAAGGAGTGAACTAAGCGTCTTCACGATGCTCGCTTGAGGGTTCCGAAGGAGTTTCAAGTTGGCGATCGAGTTCTCCTCTATAACTCTCGCTTGAAACTCTTTCCTGGAAAACTACGCTCCCAGTGGTGTGGACTGTTCACGGTCACACAGGAGTTCCCGTATGGCACGATCGAGATTGCCAACCCGCAGACTGAGTCGTTTAAAGTGAATGGCCATCGTCTCAAGCTCTATCTGGGAGACGATGTCGAACGTGCGGAGTTGGTAATTGAACTCACGGACCCTTAGTTCCGCCATGGGCGTCCAGCTAAAAGACGGTAAAGAAGTGCTTGTGGGAAGGCAACCCCACATCGGTTTGTATTACTTTGTCCCTTTTTCATTTGTTTTGTGGTGTGTCGAGTCAGTTGCACTTCTATGATGAAGTTAGGTCGTCTGGAATGCCTCTTTTTGGTGTTTTCGTACAGGGGAGTTTGAAAATTTGGGGAAAATGAAATTTTGGCCGAGAAGGGGAAAATACCCGCCCGCGACTCAAAATACCCGACTGGGTATTTTGGCCTCGCGGCCGGGACCCCTCTGGTCAGGGGGCGCCAAAAGGCTAAATACCTGGCTGAGACTCAAAATTCCCGACCAGGTATTTTGGCCTATCGGTCGCCCCCCCCCCCCCCCCCTTAATCAGGTTCGTGTACGAGGCGTAATACCCGTCCGCGAGCCTCAAATACCCGATAGGGTATTTTTTAGGCTCGACCAGGTACTATTCTTTTAAAAGCGAAAACTCGGCCAGCACTTTCTCTCTCCTCTCATTTTTTCAGAATCCTCCCCTCTCTTCCTTCTCTCTTCCTCCCCTGCTCTCCCGTCGGAGAAATTTTTGCTGACAGAGTTTTGTAGATCCCGCCTTCTTCCGACCTCCAAATTAAAATTCGTTCGCGGATTCGGGATCTAAGTTGCGGGGCGCACCTTCGGCATAAATTTCGGCTGATTTGGGCAAAGTTCCATTTTCGGCCGCCGCCTCCTTGCCGCCGGCGAGTTTCCGGCGAGTCCTCCATGGCCGTTTTATTCGTAGTTTAGCATCCCTCGCCCGTTGCTCGTGACCTTCTACGGTCCTACTTGTGTTTACAGGTGTGTAACTTGAACAATTTTTCTTTTTCTGGAAAATCAGACTGTAGATGTTAGGCCCGAGAATTGTGAATTGTTTGGCATGTTTGAACTAGTATAGGGTGAGGGATGTTGTAGATGTGATTTACTGGTGCATGTTAATTGCTCGCCTGTTTGAATGATTCTTGCTTGAAATGTCGTTGTTTTGCATGCAACTCAACTACCTTGTGCTTAACTGCTTACCCTATGTGGTCCTTAAGTGTGGGTGAACTTTTGCACCCCTGCTGCAGTCCTAACAAGTATTTTCTTGGTTCCACCTTTGGAGTTGTTCATTTTGAACGATCATGTATCTCGACCACCCCTATGTACAAGGCCTGCGCCTCCACCCCGACTACGCGGACCAGTTCAGACGGGTCCTTAACGGGGTGTTTCACTGGCACCACCACCTTGTGTGGGGAGTTATCTACCAGCTTCATTGTCTGGATGAGATCGCCGCCACCATCAGCCACCCACACTGGCAAGTTCTCCTGTGCACGCACGATTCCACCTGCACGGAGCTGGTGTGGGAGTTCTACTCCACTTTTCAGTATCGCCCCAAGGCGTCCCGAGAGTCCCAAGGAGCTAGTGTGTTATTTTGTCATATTTCATGTCCTAGTTAGTAAAGGGAGGCATAGGCGCAAGTTTCGGTTCAATCGAAGGTCGTTTGGTCACTCAAAAGTCTCTCAAAAGTGGAGCTGAGAAGGAAATACGGGCAGACTCCCTAAAAATACGATCATAATTCACAAATTACCGCCTGTATTCCCTAAATTAAGAACGTGGTTCACAAATTACTGCCAGTATTTTTTATGTCGAGCCTTGTGATGGCTCGGGTACAAAATACGGTCAGTATTCCCAAAAATACGGTCATATTTTCAGTGTCTAGCCCGTAATTTCACTACCGAGAGGAGCCTTGGATGCGCTGAGACTTAACCAAAACGCGCGTTTTTGACAAAATACGGGCAGGGAAGAATTACGACCATATTTCTGCCTGTATTTCACCCAGAATCAGGTTTTTAGAGGCAGATTCGAGCCAAAGGAAGGGGTCGACATTTTGGAGCAAAAACAGAGTTTTAGAGAGAGAAAGTGCGAATAACAAACCCTAGGAGCTATTTGGAGTGGATTTCTCACCATTGAAGCCCAGATTGCATCCCCAGGAGTGAAGATTGACATCCCAGAGCAGATTCTTCCCATTGTTATGAGTATGACTGCTTTGTATTCTGTTTTCCTCTCTCTCTCTGTGGAGTAGAACTTTCTCTCACTTGGGTATGAAGAACCCTAGTTCCATGTGTTAGGGATCTTGATTGTAATGACGTTTGGATTGATATACTGCTTGGTTATAATCGATTGATGCATGTTTTATTGTGTCAATTAAAGCCTGATAACCTTCTTGATTTCTACTTCAACCTAAGATAGATAGAATCTGATTAGGTTGTTAGAGTTTCCTCAATCGGTAGTAGTGAATTGGTTATACGAGAGTTAGTCGATTCACTGCTTCGTACTGGAATCCCATTCCAGTAGTGGAGTTCTGTGTTAACTGCCTCAGCGTTCTATCTCGGTGAAGACTAGTCGTATGTCGGGTAGCCTGTCTGAGAGGGCTTGGTCAGCTTAAGAGTTTCCAAGCTACTGTCGGATCTTCCGCAGTTTAATCAATAGTAAATCAACGAAAGGTAATTACAACATTGACCTAACTAAGGAGCTAGAGGGACTCATTCCCGAGTGACTCTTCCCCTGCTTAAGAACTTCGAACCATTTCCTGCTTTCTTACTGCTTTTGCTTGAAATCACATTCACTCAACTTAGTCTGCTAGATAATAGATAATTACGGAGTAGGCAGTAGATCTTGACCCCGGTTGATAAATTGAACTTGCCACTATTCTGCATTTCTGGACTGCGATTACACTTGGTCGCAGTTTGGTGTTGTGTTTTAGCGTGTCACCTGCTCAGTATGCTTTGAATTGACAATCTTTATAGTAATATGCAACCTAGAGAGGTAGTGTAGCACTATGGAGGATGTTGATGCATGTAAGAAGTCTCCTTTCTTCTTCATATTGTGTTGGTTGATTGTGTGAATCAGTGATCTTATGACCCTTGAATTGTGTGACATTGGGAACTCTCTACCAGTCATGGACTCTTATATCATGTTTTAAAAAGAAAGGTGCTCTAAAATGTGCTTTCAAATAACATCTCCCGTGTGAAAAGGGCAAAAGTGTGTAAGGGAGGACGGGAATTCGTTCCCAATTGCCACCTACTACCTCCAGTCCCCTTACACTTCTTTCCCCACACGAGGCTCGAGACATCTGCTCCTGGCATGGCCAGGAAGAGCCGGGCTCCCTCAAAACCTTCAATAGTTGGGAGTCCTGTTTTCTGAAATAACAGGTTGGGACCCTTAAAAAACAACAAAACAAAGAAAAGAAAAAGAAAAAAAGGGGGGTTCCAACCATGCTCAAGAAGAAAATAGAGCACCTTAAGCATAAGTGAGTCCATGATTTTTGTTTTTGAGAATCCCTCTTTTCCACGATTCATTTTTCCTTTGATCACTATTTGCCATGATGCCGACTCGAGACTAGTGTTCTCGCCGAAGAAGTTAGGAGATGACTTGTGTGTCGGTTGACCACGTAAGCTGCTAAATGATCTAGAAAATCCTCTACTGATGATCGGGGGTGCATGTTGTTATAGAGGTCTGGAGAGTTGCATTGGTTTGAGTTAGGTTTGCTTGGGGACAAGCAAATGGTTAAGTGTGGAGGAGTTTGATAGTCCGTCATTTGCACATATATTGATCACCATTCTTGAACCGTTTGAGAGTCTATTCTCGTGATTTAGGCCGATTTCACGCTAGGTTGTTCGTTTATGTCATATTTCAGTAGTTGGCATGGATATGGAGGCATGGAGACAAGTTTCGGGTCGAAAAGTAGAAAGTTGAGCTAGAGGAGCTGTCAGGCGAAAAATACCCGGTCAGACATTGAAATACCCGACCTGGTAAACAAGAAAGAAGGACCGGGGAAAGACGTTTTGGAGGCCAATGGAGCAGAAGAGGCCCTGACCAAAAGACTTAAATGGCCGATCGGGTATTTTGAACCTCGATAGGGTATTTTTCCTTCCCCACTGCGCTGCGTTTCGAAATACCCGGTCGGTCACCTGAAATACCCGACTGGCTATTATCTCCGGGTATCGCGATCTGCCCCTTTTGAAGGGAAGAAAGCGTCTTTTGAGAAAGGATCCGATTTTTAGAGAAAGAAAGTAGAAAACCTAGAGAGAGAGTGTGACGAACAGAACTTCCAAGTGCCCTAAATCGGTCTCTGACACCATTGCAGCTTGGTGGAAGCTTGGAGAAGTGTCGATTGATTACCAGAAGCATATTTTCATCCTTCACAGAATGATTTCCGCATCTGAACCAGATTTCTCTTCTCTCTCTATGTAGTAAACTCTCTTACTCGCTTGGGTATGAAGAACCCTAGATTTGTATGTTATTTTTGGTTATATGAACCCAAGTACAATTTCTTTGATACTAATTATATTCAATTGATGTATGATTTTCTGAATTGCATGAATCCTGATCAAATTCCTGTAGTTCCTGCTTTGACCTAGTAAGAGAATATCCGCCTAGGTTGATAGAGCACCCTTGAATTGAAGGTAGTGAATTGACGAATTTAGTCGAGGAGTCTGTTCACTATTCTGTACTGGATTTACTCCAGTAGTGGAGGTTTGGTACGTTAGGGCCTCAGTCTGTTTACTCCGGTGGAGGTTAGTCGCCTCTTGGGGATTCAGATTGAGAGGGTCTTGAGACCTTTAGTCGAGACTTCATACTGGCTAAGAACCTTCCGCAGTATAATTATCATAGAAACTGGACTGGGTGAATTACAACTTGGCTTAACTGCAGTCTAGGGGGAACCATATCTGGGTGACCTCTCTCAAACTTGGAACACAACATTTACTTTTTTTGTTTGCTAGTTTAGTTGGAACTTCACTATAGTTGAACCGCTAAATAATAAGAATCTCACGGAGTAGTCATCACACCTAGGACCCGGGATGACATGTTCACTTGCATCACATACACAAGTGCTCTCTGAACCGTGCAATAAGGTCACCCAAATCTAAGTCTGCTATACTACCCATTAGTAGGTAGTTACACTTGGCCACTTTCTAGTGTGATTGTACAAGCGAGTTATTCGCCACATTATGTAGCATAATGATATTTATCACTACCCTAATCATGATTCAACTATTTTTCATCTCCATACCCGAGGGGTAAAAAGAATCAAATAATCACACTATTGTGTTGATTCGATTTGATAGACTTGGAGTATACTCAACCTGTGGGGGAGAGGGTCACGTGAGGAAGAATGATAGGTAGAAGAGCCAATCCATCTATTTATCTTAGCTATCCTTCCTTCCTTCCTTTCTACTTGCCATCAGTTTCGAGGTGTGGTGTGAAGGAATGAAACTAATAAATAGCAAAATGCGTTAAGCAACATTCTCTCTCTCTCTCTCTCTCTCTCTCTCTCTCTCTCTCTCTCTCTCTCTCTCTCTCTACGTGACCATAAAAACACAAGTCCATTTTATAAGTTAAAATTTCATCCAAATCCCGACCGCATGTAACATTCATCATTATCATTACGGGAACATGGACGAGGTTGACCCAAGTCCTACGTTAGCTAGGGTTATGTTGAATATTAAAAAATTAAAAAAAAGAATTATTTTACAAAAAATCTACGTTAACGAAAATTAATAATTACTTGGGAATTTATAAAGTTTGCGATGCATGCAACCAAGGTTTCCAACTTCACTCTCAAGTTAGGTTTCACTTATCCCTATATGTATACTATACAACTACTTTGCTTTTACGATCAACTCCAACGAAACCCTTCCCCCACAATCCCAATCCCTATATCTATGTACGTATACAACCCTAATTCACTCCACCTAATAAAGGACCGGCGTTTTGAAGCAAGGAAGCTCTATTTTCCTATACTTTCAATAATGCATGTCAATGTGAAGCTAACTTGAGTTGGATGTTTACTTGTGGAAATCAATGTGATATGCACTCTTAGATCTTGTGGAACTTTCAATGAGCTAAAGAGGAAATCAAGAAAAGAGGAAATCAAGAAGAAAAAAAAGGTTAAAAGCAAATAAAGTAACTGGTACATGCATAATGTGGCTACATTCATGGGGAAAAATTCTTCGGTTTTAGTTCTGATGATAATTTGGGGTTTAAGTTATCGTTGCAATATGGGAGGGTGAACAAATTAAAGACGGAATATGGGAGTCCTATGAATTTGGAATTTTAAACTGACACACATGCTTACAAACGAGTTGGTACAATAATAATAGTGACCCACACTCCATTTACACACTTCTTCGGTAGAGGTGCGGATAGATGTGATTGGGTTGTGGGTTAACCTGCAAATTCAATGATTCAATTAATAATTAGGCAAGTTGACTAACATTTGTAATAAATTCTTTTCAAATTAGTAAGACTGCATCAGTTTAAACACTCCTAATTTGTTTGCTATGTAGATGTATAGTACATGTATCAAAACTTTCATCACTTCACCAACCAATTATGCAGAGACATTTCAATTTTTTGTGACTCAAATATAATTAATAGTTTATAATTTGCATCTCAATATCTAATACAATCGATATTACACAACATAGTAACCAATAGTAATAGCCAAAACATATTTTTTATTTTCTGCCTTCAGAAGTCAATGATCAGTTTGTAGTGACGGTCAAAAAAGATTATGATTATTCGCTAATATAAAAAAGTAATAACTATTTTCCATATAAATATGGGGTAATGGTCATTTGGGTGAATCCACGTGGGCATTATTGTTAGCTTCCGATCCAGCATTTTTATTGCCTTTTGTATGCCTGTCTGAAGTTTCCCTAATCCACTTCATTTTAAATGAAACCTAAAATGTGTTGTCATTAGGGAGGTCTTTTTGGTTAAGGGGATCCAGTTTCCATTGATTGATGATCCAACGGTGGTTGAGTTACTTGTTCTCCAGGAGACCGTTTCTTGGTGTTTGGGTCATGGCTTTACGGAGATGAGATTTGAAGGAGATACCAAAGTGGTCATCGAGAAAATCTGAAGGAAGTACAAAATCTAGGCGCATACGGCTAGGATAGAAGTAACAATCTCGTGAAAGAACAAGGGAATTTAGGGATTGGAATTAGGGATTTGGGTTGAGGAAAAGAAGAGAGGGAGTTGGGAGAGGTTTGGCTGCCTCTATAGATGGAAGGGGCCGCCGAGTTTGGTGAGGAAGAGAGAGAGAGAGAGAGAGAGTTTTATGGAAGGAGAATTAGGTTTAGGGAATAGTTATTCTATTTCTTACTTAATCCGAAAAACCCCACCCGTACAAAATATATAGAACCGACAAATTCCCTATAACTACCTCGAATAATGAATATCATCCAAATTACGCAAATACTCCCAAGAATCCCAAAATAACAATCAAAGTCCATAAAATAGTAATAAACCACAATCACGTCCCAAGTTGTGGGGAACTGAGGATTTATGTTTCCTACAAAATCATACGGGCCGATATTCCAGATAATCGGATGGGGACTATTCTTGAAGAGATTGTGCAGACTTTCGCAATGAATATGGGCTTCAGTGTCCGATTTGTAGGTCGGAGTAAAAATATGATAGCTCATTTGGTAGTTAGAAAGGTCATGTCTTTGTAACCCACTACACTACGTGTTACTTTTTTTATTTTTAGGCCTAGCTGAATTACATAATGTAACTATCTATTTGTTCAATCAATAAATAATTATGTTTTGTCAAAAAAAATTATAAAATTAGCAACCACTCCACTCCCATCCCCACTCTAAATCAGTCGGCCCTCAAAAAGGTGAGTCATCAAACCGGCCGGCCGGCCATAATGAATTGAGCTTCTCACGGGAATACGATTATATCTATCCTTTTCAAATCGGAGGGCCCTCTCTACATAAAAACTGAGAAAAAATTTGAGTGGCCAGCCAGGCAGCCATAAAAAGAAAGCGGCCGAAGGCAAGGTATTAATTAGAGAATAAGAGAAATATCTTATCAGAAGAAGCTGATTCATGGATGTGGAGATTGTATGTGTAGCCCAATATTCCAGCGAATCCAGGTAGCGGTCACGAAAGGATGAGAAGAGGCTAAGAAAAGGCTTAGCAATCCAGGTGGTGGCTCATATCCCAACAAGTCTCCTCTTTGCTTCCCCTTGTTTCTATCCCATTTCCATCACTTGCGCCTTCTGGCTACCTAGATAGCATTAGCAACAACATGCATTCTCGTCCAATGATATTCAAGCTTCAGCTATGTTCATTCTATTGCTTACTTATATTGCTTTTTCATCCTTTTGGCAATTATCCACCATAATTTTACCCAAATTCAAGTAAACTCATGGATTTTATGGGCAGTGTATAATTTATTATATATGAATTTGAGATTTTATAAATGAGTTTGGGTAGAGTATGGATATCGTTTCCATACTCTAAGTTGTTTGAGTTAGGTATAAATTCTTATTCACTTGAAGTTGCTTTGAATATATATATATATATATATTGGACATATTTGTAAAACTTAAAAGGTTTATGTATCAAAAGGTAATACAAAATGCACATTTGGTTTTGTAATTTTCTTTTATTATATCTTATTATTTTTTAATGGTATCGATCTTTTAGTTCTTTTTATATTTTACTTATTCTGGTTATCCGCTATTCGAGTTTTCTTCTAGTAGGAGGGTCGCTACTTAATGTGTACTTGAATAGGATCAACAATAATATCAAATAATAATAGTTGTTACTTCATCATTGGTGAATATCATATTTACGACCATCTAGTCTTCGATTGGCCTAAAATTTCAATTCAAAAATTGTACATGACATTTCATCAAACCCTGACAAAGCCGATCAACAAACTTTTATATGCAATTTGATATAATTTATATTTGTATGAATAATATAATGAATTTTTATATATATCAAGCTAAATCGGGCTAAAACAATCATAGCATTAACCCTTCACACACTTGCTCAACCGGACCAATGAGCTAAACCGGGTTGACAACCTTGATAGTAATTGAATTTTGACTTTTGAATTTATTTTTTAAAATTTATAATTTTGTTCAAACATGAGAACTAACTTTATTTTGCTTAATATCATCAAACATAATTTACCCTATTAGCTAAATGATATAAGTGATCATAAATTTTACTTTGTAAGTTCGAATCTTAGTAATATTAATTATATGTTTATTTAGTTTTAACTTAGTAAAACTTGACAAATTGTAATAAATAAAAGTTAGGACTTTACTACGCTGACTGGTGACTTACACAAATAGGTCGACCGCAGAGTAATAAAGGTCGATCAAAATCTATTGTTTCTGTTTTGTTACGTTCAGCAAATCGGTCGATCTCTTTGGCAAGCAAACAATAAAAATGGTCGACCTCAATCTTAAAGCGGTTAACCTTGTACATTATGGTCTACCTCATTCTTAAAAGGGTCAACCTCTATTGCATTACCTTATCAACATCGAACACCGAATTATCTAGGGGTGGGCAATGGGAAACGAGTATTTGGGTATACCCATACCCGTCCCTTTTTTTAGGGTTACGACCCGTAATATTTATTACGAGATGGGACTTGGGATTAAGAAGTTTGACATTGGGTACCCACGGGTTACCTGCTTATACCTGTTTGGGCAGTATGGGTACCCGTAATACCCATTATATTAATTCCATATACAATACCATAGCTCAAAGCCCAGCTACATGAGCATACTACCGGTGAGTGTAACAGAGATGCGAGATGAATTTTTATCTTTCAGTGGAAGATACATGCATTCCACCACATCCAACTACCATAATGATAGCAACACCAATGAGAAAAATGCGGATGAGTAAGAGGAGAGATGTCTATGAACTCCATTATTAGATTGTATTTTTTGTTGTGAAATTTGTTAAGTCTTAATGTCGATTTGGTTTAAAGCAACTATGATTGTGGATTGATATTAAGCCATTGTGATTTTCTATTTTAGGTATTTGTGAACTACTGTGTGGTGTGTTTTATTGTATTTTGTGTTAGTGATTAAGTTGTTAAAAAGTTATGGTTTCTTGCTATTATAATTGTGGATTGAATTTTTTGATTTCTATCGTAATTTATTAGACCAAACAAAGTACACACATCGACAGACATAAGCACAAAATTCAAAGGTCGCATGCTTATTTTACTGTAAGCGGTCGACCTTTTAGTGTAAGCGGTCGACTTCAAAATCAACATTTTCCTCTACGCTTCACTTCAAGAGGGATGGATTTATGTGTTGTCAACTCTTCTTCTATATGGTCAACCTCTTGTTGGAAATGATCGACCTCATTTCATATATGGTAATGACTACCCTGAAGTGGTTGGCCTCTATTTTTTACGGTCCGCTAAGTTTGCCCCTAGCATAATCGAAAAGAATATAAACCTTGTTATGGGGCTGGATCTGTAAGGGATCGAAGTTCAAGCTAGGGATACTATTACTATATGGAATCTCGCAACTATTAGGACAAGGACATTTAGGAAGTCTGAATTGCACGAAAGGGCAAGGCCATTAACAAGGGCAAGAAAGGCGTAAGAGGTCCTAATTTACTAAACAACGGATATCCGTATGTTTTAGAAGGGCGCCGGGAGCAATACTCCACCACGTACCAAATCCCAAAAAGCAGGCAAAAGATTAATACAAAGCAAAGCGTATATCTTTCACATAGGAGTAGGTAGCAGTCGGCCTGCGATTGTCCATATAAGGAGCTCGACGGAAAATTTCATTTTTAGGTCTAATATCATAGGCCTAACTCTTAAAAGGAGCTCCCTCCCTGTTGTTCTAAAATTGACAGTTTCCTTTTGTTTTTTAGACTGCTAGCCAAAGCCCGGTTTTTTAGGTCTAATATCATAGGCCTAACTCTTAAAAGGAGCTCCCTCCATGTTATTCTAAAATTGACAGTTTCCTTTTATTTTTTAGACTGCTAGCCAAAGCCCGGGGTCAACCATTTTGTATATGACTAACTTGAAATGTCCACATCTTTCCTATTGTGGTCGACCATTTATTTTATGACTGCCTCAAATCGGTCAATCAATTTTTTGTTGTGGTCAACCATTTTAGTAATGACTACCTTAAAATGGTCGCCAATTGTATGTTAATGGTCGGCCATAAATTCTATCAAAATGACCACGATGGTGTAATCGGTCGACTGGATGAGCACATAGGTTGACCGAATTGTACAAGTCATTGTGCCTTGCATATCACCATAGGTGTACCCTAAAAGTTAAAATGATAAATATGACATGAAAAGCGTGGATCTGACCAAATCTTACTTGACAAATGATTGTCTAGCAGCCTATATGGGCTAAGTTAAGAGAACCACAGTCCAAATTGAAATAACTCTTAGGATCAACAGGTGAGACCATCATTATATTTAGTTTGTTTGATCTGTTCCACATATCAATTCGACCCATTTTTCTACAGTATTTATAAAATTCATTTTACCAAACACTAAATTATATTATATTCGATTCGATGTGTTCTGATTGGTCTTATGTGATCCGAACCTAACTATTACACACCCTAGACAAATGATAGTCTAGCAGCCTAAATGGGTCAAGGTAGGGCTGAAAATTGGCCTGACCCGCCCCTGACCCTGTCCTGAAGGGTCAAGACGTATAACTAACCCGCCCCGACCCTATTTCTTTCATGGCCCTGTCTGATCCTTTAGGGGCGGGCGGGTCAGGAAGGGTCGGGTCAGTGGGTCGACCCTAATAAATACACTACTTTTCTAAAAATTACAATTTGGTACCCCAATTTAATTTTTTTCTTACATTTTAGTAGCTGAATTTTTTTTTTCCAAATAAGTCCCAAAATTTTGATGATAAATTACGTTTTGGTACCCATTTTTTACTTTTACAATTTAGTACCTACAATTTTAAAATTTTACAAATAGGTCAAACGTGTTTGTATGATGATAAGGGTCATAGGGTCAAAAAGTGACCCGATCCTAAACTGACCCTGTAGACAAACTGACCCAATCCAACCCGACCCTGAGGGTCGGGGCAAGTCGGGGTGGGTCGGTGGGTTTTAAGTAGGGGTGGAAGTTTGGGTTGCGGTTTGTGGATAATCCGCAAACCGCACCAACCCGCACCTATTGTGGGTAACCATACCCACAAGTTGTGGGTAACCATACCCACAAGTTGTGGGTAGTGGATTGGGTGTGGAAAGTAAAATAACGATTTTTGTGGTTAGTGGTTATCCACTACCCAACACGGTTAACCCACAATAACCACACTAATTATATTTATTTAGTGAATTTACTTTATAATATAATAGTATGTGAAAAGTGCGAGAATAAAAATTAAAGTAGTTACCAAATAAAAAAGACACACCTAATCAGTTTTATGTAAGAATTTTTTAGTTTATAAACCACTATAATCGATAGAGTGGAGAATAATCAATTCATTAAAAGTGAACACCTTTTGTAACTTTTATCAGTATGTTTTTGCTTTTGTGTGAAAAAAATACAAGATCATATTTAATTTTCATATTTCACCCCTAGTCGGGGAAATATGAAATCACAGCTCTCTGACACAAAAGTTGAATACCAAACTCAAAAAGAAAAAATCTCCACGTTGAGTAAGATCGAAGTACAAAATTGTATCTCCACGAACAATACAAGTGTATATCACTATAGTCTAGTTACGAACAACAAATACGTTAGTGGCGACTAGAACTCACGGGTAGTGGTTACCCACTAACCACTGCGGTGCGGGTTGTGGGTAGCATAATTGTAAATTTGAGTGCGAGGGTACCCGCAAAGTGTGCGGCGGGTAACCATACCCGCCCTTAGTTTTAAGGGTCAAACTTACACCCCAAGGTGATGATATCACTTCAGACCAAATCTTGAGCACAAAACAAAAGAGCTGCCCATTCAGTAGCTAAAACGGCTCTTTATCGGCGGATTGATTAGCTATCGACCACCGCATTTAATTATTTTATTTATTACATATTTATAAGCATACTGCATTATACACCTATTTATGATATGGTGTCTATCTCTGACAAAAAAAAGTTTGAATCGATCATTATTGTAGACTAGATGCACGAAAGGTTAGTTCTGTAATTCCAATATGTCATGACACAAACCTATTTGTCAAAACCATTTAACAATTAGTTACTATTTTATCAAATCTTTTGATCAGCCTGCCGTCTACAGAAGAAGTAGAAGTGGGAGGATGGAAGTTAGAGATGGCGTACAAAGTGGGATTTTGATTTTCCGGCGTTGGTCCATACCCCTGGCTAGCTAGCTGTGTTCCTGCGTGGCCGTGGAGTGACTGTGCCAGCGCGGCAGTGGAGGAGAGCATCGTGGCGGCCACGTGGCTTATGGGGAGCAGAGGCGTGCATCACTGGGAGGGAACAAACTCCTTACCTCTGTGCCTGTCTGGAAACAATCCAACACAAACCACCCTAACAAACAAAACAAAACAAAAACAAAAAGGATACGGCCCATTCCGCCAGTCAATTCCAACAAACTGCCTTTGGGTGTCAGCAGTTCGAAATCAAACTCAACGGTTACATGCAGTTCGAAACCAAAATCAAAGTTTGTTACAAACTCACTCACTCACTCGGTCAGTCAGTCTCCTCGATTTGCTTTGTCCCTCTCGAGAGTTTGTTGCGGCCGGCAGTTCCAGCTCCCACCTCATGAGTTCAACAAACTTCTCCCCTTCACCGTATAATATTGCGACTCCATAATTATTAAAATTGGGTAGGTGGGATGAAAGGATTCCTGCTGTATTGACTATACTACTAGACATTTTATGCAATGCCGGAGACATAAAATTTTATCTCGGGGTTTTGAAAAAAAATTAGTTAATAGATAAAAATATTCGAATAATAAAAAATATTATAAAGAATCAACAAATGATCTATAATGTAATGAATTAACGTGTGCTTTCGTCATTGTAGTAATTAAAACAGGGTGTCCAGAGACACCCCTAAAGGGTCATGGGTCCACCACTATGTGCATGTTTACCAAATGGTTATTAACCTGAATATTGACAGTTAATTTCCATATATGTGTATTTTTGGATGTACTCAACTCTAAAAGTAACCATAGGATATTGAATTTTAAATTTTAACTCATAACATTATTCTAGTATGACGATATAACATAGGATCGCAACTCATCAATGCATTATCCTAAGTTCTAAACCTTCAATTTTGAATCTCAAATGTAAACCCCAAATTGTAAATCCTAACCCTAGATCATTCAAATTAAAGTAAATCGTGAATGATTTTTGTACAAATTCATGTGTTTTCTTGACTATCATATAGCAAGTAATGATTGACATTGTTTTCACATAAATCGCCTACTCATAATGACGGTTATAAGACGATTGCATTAAATGCACCAAAAAGTGACCAAAGCCATAAGCCCATAACTAAATATATATATATATATATATACTAGGTGGCGATTCCGCGCCTTGTCGTGGGGCGGAGATGGTCTACTGGCATGTATTATGTAACCCGTTATAGTGTTTTGTTAGTATTATTAGTCTAAAATTAATTTTTTATTAGCACTTTTGTTAGTAATATTGATTGAAAAGAGATAGATGGCGGTCAATTTCCAATTTAAAAAATCTTGAAAATTTTGGTTAATAAATGATATTTGCCTAAACCCAAGTAGACCCATTGATTATGGATAGGGTATAGGTGACGTATATATGGGTTTTGAAGTTTGTAAATGAGTTTGGGTAGTGTATGGTTATTTACTTTCATAATCTAAATGTGTATGAGTTAGGTATTGATACCCATTTATTCGAGGGTGTTTCAATTACACATACAAAAATTAGTCCTATTTGTAGAACTTCAAAAGTTTAGGTACTAAAATGTAACACACCAAATGTTTAGGTACTAAAATTTAATGTTCCATCAATATTATGAGGACTTATATGCCAAAAAAATAAATTTAAGGTATAAATCTAAAGATCTATTAAGTTTAGGTATCCAATTGTAATTTGCATCGTTTAGGCTTAACTCCTTTTATGTAGGGTAGGGACTTTGAGCCCGACCCGGCGGGTCCGACCCGGCCCAGCCCACCTAGGGACGGATAAAACCCGGCCCGTTTGAGATGGGGCGGGTCTTGACCCGACCCGCTCACAGGCCAGTCCGGGCTTGGGTATAACCCCTGCTCCGCCCCATCCCCGACCCGCCCCACTCCTTAGCCCTTTCGTCTGTCGATCTTCCCCTTCCCTTTCCCATTAACAACCAATCCATAATCCCAATCCCCAGCAACCTCTGCAGGCATCCGACTCTTCTCCTCCCCTCTTCCATTTACTCCATCATTAACACTCCATCCTCAACCCCAAGAAGAATTCATTCAGCCAGCGAGATGTTTGGCTTCCCGAAGAAAATTCATCATGAATTCAGCCTATCAAATTTTGATTTCCTTCTCCATCTCCTATTCATATGTCACCGTTTTGTTTCCTCCATCCCCATTCCAATGTCAGTTTCCATAGATAAATAGTATCTCTTATTGCTATTCCCTGTAACTAAGCCAACTAGTTGAGGATTGCTTTGTTAAAGCTTTCTTTGCTCGAGTCACTCAGAGCCATAGGTGTTCAGTACTTCTGTTCAGTTGCTTGAAGCTGTTCGAATCATCTTCTCAAATCTTGGTCAAGGGCAGGTAATTGATCATGATTCACAAGTTTACTTATCTCTCTCAAACTCTCATGAGGCTTTTATAGCTTTTTCCAAAACAATTACAGTATCATGCTAACAATGGTAGTCGTATTTTGTTGCAGTAAAAACTATGGCAGCCCAAGGAAATTCCAGTAGGAATACTTCTTCCCCTGGTGGTTCTCCATCAGCCGTTGTTGCCCCTATTGCATCTCAGAACCCACAAGTTTCTCCAACTCCAAATATTGTCGAAATTGCACCAAATGCGAATGAGGTTGTACAAGTTCAAGTACAACCCAATCCAAATGAGACTTCACAAGGGGAGGAATATGCCAAAGGTGGAAACAACAAGACTTACTCTCAATGATGGGGATATTTTGATAGAGTAACTGTTGGAGGCTTGAAAAAGGCCAAGTGCAAGTTGTGAAAGAAACTGTTCCTTGGAGAACCAAGGCATGGGACTAGTCACCTCAAAAAGCATGTCCAAAGATGTCCCAAGAAAAATTTCCCGGATTTAAGGCAACAACTGCTTCAAGCCAACTTGAACAAGGACAAAGGGTTTCAACTCTCGCCTTTCAACTTCGATCAGCGAAACTCTCGACAAGAACTTTCAAAGGCCATTCTAAAGCATGGGTACTCTCTTTCCATCGTCCATCATGAAGGGTTCGAAAGCTTCTGCAATAGTTTGAATCCTTGCTTTAAGATGGTCTGCAGAAAAACCATAAAAAAGGATTGCTTGAACATTTTTTACCTTGAGAAGGCAGCTACGAAGAAGATCATTGATAAGAATGAAGGTCGGCTGGCATTTACCACAGACATGTGGACATCTACTCACCAAAAGAAGGGATTTATGGCAATCACAGCTCATTTCATCGACAACTAGTGGAATCTACACAACCGGATTATCAGGTATCTTGTAGAGTTGTAGTTTAATTTTTGTTTGCTTGTTGTCTTAGTCTGTTTGCTTACTCTGTTTACTCTTTTCAATTTTTGTAGATTCATTTATGTGCTCGCCCCCCATACTAGCGAAGCTCTTTGTGAAGCTTTGGTGAAGTGTCTGTTGGATTGGAACCTAGACAGGAAATTATCGTCAATCACCGTAGATAATTGCTCAACCAATGATGCAATGATGGCCTTACTTCTGGAGAAGCTTCCAACATCCACATATTCCTTTTTTCTTGGTGGTTCTATGATCCACATGCGTTGTTGTGCACACATCCTCAATCTGATTGTGAAGGAAGGGCTTAAAGTCATTGGAGATTCAATTGAGAGCATACGTAGTAGCTGTCAGTTCTGGTTGGCAACACCAAAAAGGGTCAAAAAGTTTGCAGAGACAGTGGCCCAACTTAACATTGTGAATGGTAAGAAACTGATTCTCGATTGTGATACTCGCTGGAATTCAACTTACTTGATGCTTGATACTGCAATGTGATACAAAGATGTCTTTTATCGTTTGAAACGCCGAGAGCTAAAGTATAAAAATGTGCCTACTGAACAAGACTTGGAAATGACAAGGAAAATTTGCAGTAGGTTGAAAATCTTTTATAGAGCTACTATTCTGTTCTCAGGCATTCAATATCCTACTGCAAACCTGTTTTTCCCTGTCATTTGCGAGAACACTATTTTAGCCTAGTAAAAAAATGGATACTTTGGAGGATGACTGGATGATCAATCTGACATCATGTTTTAATACATTGTCCCTTTGCCAGGCTTGAATTCAAGGACTAGGAGGAGTGTTGCTGATTGTTGAATATTGAGTTGCTGCAAGTGCAAGGATAACAAAAAATTGAAGTTGGCTGCTGTTTTTGGAAGATTTGAGACTTGTTGCAGAATTGCTATCAATTCATGTTGTGTCTTTTTTGTTTTGTTTGAATCTTGAGACTCCTAAGACTTATGTGGATTTGGAATTTTGGATTGAGATGTTGAGTACCTAAGTTGTTAGAACTGGCTTTGGAGTTTGATTTTGGTTGAAATGGAATCTGAGTTCTTGTTATGTTTGAATTTTTCTTTCATTGTTTCAGTTTTATAACAGGGAATTTGAGTGTGCAGGGCGGGCTTGGGTAAGACCCGGCCCGTTAGGGCTGGACGATGGGCCATGACATACTGGCCCGTTGTGGGTTTTGGGGCGGGGCGGGCTCAGTTTTAAGACAACGGGGTGGGTCTGGGTTGAGCACTACTCGGCCCATTTTCGACCCAGTCCCATCCCTACTTTTATGGTGATGTATTTAAGATGATAATTATTTATTTTTTTATAGAAAATAGAAAACTATTTATTTTATATGAAAATTCCATGTGTTGTTGAAAATTCTAGTCCAGATAAAAAAGAAAAACTCTAGAGAGAAGCAGAAGGAATACAAACTGGAACTCGCTTAAAATTTTACGCCTTCAAATCTCATAGTAAAAAATGATGACTTTCTAATAAGTAATAACCATATATATTTATTTTTAATTGGGCTCGACATTGAGCTGAAAAAATAATAGTTCATGGTTCAATTATTAATTCTCTAGACTGTTGGTCAGTCGTGTATGGACCCGTTCAAACTCGTGATTAGAATACATAAAAATTGTATTCTAATAATTAGGGTTAGACGAAGAAGGCAAAGAAAGAAATAAAGAAAGGGTTAGGAAGGTGAGTGAAAAATGAAACGAAGAGGAAGTAGATGATGAAAAGATTTTGACCAATTCTTTTAGTTGGTCGTCAATAAAACAATCAACCCTTTTCACCGTAGCAATTTATTAGACACTTGCCTATGTAGATGTCGCATATGTTGTTACATGTAGTTAGTCCCCAGTAAATGTACTAAATGAATTTATAAATTCTCTCTTGCAATATTTTAGAGCCATCTCGCTTTTATCATTTATTTAATGTTTCCCGTAATGATCAAAATAAAATGGTCGAATCTTCTCCTATAGTTGAGTGATACAACATCTTGTATGGTACAACCTAAATTTATACTTTTATGTTATGGTGGATTGGATTCATGGATTGGATTCAAAAGGATTGGTGGATTGGATTCATAGATTCAAGTGAAAACTAAATATTGGATCAATATGTAAATTTGAAAAATTGTAAGTATGAAAATCTAATAAAATTTAGATTCCAAAACATAATTGTTCAATCGTTTTACATTAAAATTAAATTTGGAGTATTAAAATGTAAAATATATATTATAATGACTAAATTATAATTTAATTAAATTTGAGGTATCAAAATGTAATAATTTAGTCAACACTAATCATACTTCACTTTTATATATATTAATATATATAACAGAATCTATGAGTATATATTCCAATTCAAAGTGCTCCTCAGGAATTGGAGAACAAAACAAGATCTCAATCATGTCTTTCACTAAAATTCACCCTTTTTCTTATTGAAGGTAATTTGTTCTTTTGTCCAACTAACGAGCAGATTTCTAGAACAAGTACTGATAATGGTTTGGAAGTTGCTGGAATTAGATTGCCAGAATATCACGCACGTAATGACATATTAAAGGTATAGAGCTTAAAAAAAAAAAGTGTGTTGATGCCACATAGTACACGCTACGTGCATGTGTTCTTTGGATTTTACTCTTGCCTTTGCCTCTCCTGGTTACGTACTCTAACCACCGTACGTACTACCAGGGGCGGACCCAGGGAGGATTGGGAGTGTCCCAGGACACCCTAAAATCTCGGAGAAAATTTATCGAACCCCCAGTAGTAATTTGAGCCTAGAAAAAAAAAATAGTGGTTAATGAGATTTGAACCAGGGACACTCTAGTTATTAGATAACATGTTTTCCACCACACTACAACTCATATCTTGCTGTAATTTTAAGATACGAATAGTTATAAACATATTAATTTTTTCCACAATTGGACAACAAAACCCTAAAACTAAACACGACTCACATTCATCTTCTCAAAAAAAAAAAAGACTCTGCGGGCTGCGGCTGCTTCCATCAAACTTCAATGTCGCGCCGCTGATCCGACCTCGCCCTCCTCCGCTGACCTCGCCGGCTCGCCCTCATCCGCCGGCCTCCTCTGTCCGTTGAGTATTTCAGCCGCTGCAACTTCCCCTTCCCACGACGGTTACAGCACAGTTACAGACAGCGTATTTGGAACTCCTTTCCCAGAAAGCCCACCTTCCCTCGAGTAATCCGATGTATTGGGCTACAACAGCGTATAAGGAACCTTCACCGGCCCAACCCTGTTCTTCAATTTCGGATTCTCATTCATCTCCGTAATCCGCTTCTCAATCCCTTTCAACCTCTCCCCAAATCTCCTGAACGCCGCCAGCGGTTCGTCATCGCAAGTCCACTCATCGCTCTCCCTCTGCCCCAGGTAAATCTCGTCCGTCGAATGCCTGGATAAAATCTCTATCAGCGATACCCCTAACAATGTCTGTAACTGTGCCGTAATCGTCTTCAAATAACTAGCCTCCTCTTACAAGTTTGGATACAATACAATAGCTAGAAGAAAGAGAAGAAGAAGAAAAAAAAAGAGGCTTAGAAAAGTTTGGATACAATTTCACATGTGAACAGCATCCGCCATTTCAATTGTTAATTTCACATGTAAACAGCATCCGCCCAAAACATTATCTTTGATGATTCATGGTTTGACAAAGACAGTAGCAATACAAGTATACAAAGATTAGGATCGCCTTTTCAATTGTTAATTCCAATTGTTAAGCAACAGTTTTACAGTCGGGAAGCATAACTTATGTACATTCTATGCTAGATCAGGTACCAATGGAAAGATATTACTCAAGACAAGTCCAATCTACTTCTAATGTTCAAACTGAAGGTGTTGAAGCTAGTGGGAGTAGACAAGCTCAAACCTTTCCTCCTTCGTCGATAGTGGGAGCTCCTCAAATACAAGAACCAAATCTTTCAGGTTCAGTCAATCGAACTCCAGAAGAAAGTGAGTCTTTCTCAGCAGAGTCAGATAGAGAGTTTGATGAAAACTCTTTGGTGCTAGATCCGGCATTAAGAACTAAGATATCTAGCTTTCATCCCAATGTCCATGACTAGGTTAGAAGATTTTATCTTCAAAAAGGTCCTATTCAACCAAAGAGTCATGCTTTTCCCGCCAGAAACTTTAGTGGAAGGCAACGTAGATTCCAGGCTTCTTGGTTTAAGAAGTATAATTGGCTTGAATATAGTGTCTCAAAAGATGCTGCTTATTGTCTATATTGCTATGTGTTCAGTAAGCGAGGTGGGAGTAATGATGGCTTTATTGGTGAAGGATTTAGAACATGGAATAAATTGAAAGCTTTTGATGATCATGTTGGGGAGCATAACAGCTACCACAATAGAGCTAAAAACAGTTCAGATCTTTTATTGAAGCAATCAAGAGGAATTGAAGCTGCATTATTTAGACAATCATATCAAGCCAAAAGAGATTATCGAATTCGTTTGGTTGCTTCACTTGATTGCATAAGGTGGCTAGTAGTGAATGGATTATCTTTTCGAGGGCATGATGAATCTGCAACTTCAAGTAACAGAGATAACTTTCTTCAGCTATTAGATTTCCATGCTCTTGGTAGAGAAGATGTGCAAAGAGTGGTTGGGAGGAATGCTCCAAAGAATCTCCAACTCACCTCTCCAAAGATTCAAGGCGCAAGGCTCCACAGATCACAAACTTGCATCACTATCAGGTTGAATTGTATTACTCTGTTCTTGATATGCAGCTGCAAGAGTTGAACAACCGTTTTGATGAGGTGAATACTAGGTTGTTGACTTGTATGGCTTCTCTTAGCCCGGAGAATGAGTTTGCTGCTTTTGACAGGGAGAAGCTGGTTAGTCTTACTCGATTTTATCCTACAGAGTTTGGTCATCTTTCTGACTCTTTTCTTCTAAGGGACTTTGAGAATTACTATCATTCTGTGAAGAATGATGAGTTATTCCATGGATTAAAAGGAATTGATGAATTGTGTCAGCTGATGGTGAAGACAAAAGTGAATCTATCATATCCATGGGTATATTTGCTTCTCAAAGTTGTATTGACTTTACCGGTTGCAACTGCAAGTGTTGAAAGAGCTTTTTCAGCTTTGAGTTACATCAAGAACAAGCTTCGGAATCGACTAGGCGATCAGTTTGTGAATATGATTGTCTCGTAGGATATATTGAAAGAGATTTGCTGAATACTGTAGACACAGAGTGTATTTTAGAATATTTTCAGAATATGAAAACACGACGTGGAAATTTGTTGTAACTTGTATTAACCAAATATTTGTGTTGTTGAATATTATTCGGATACTTTTATTATTTAAGAATTATTTTATTTTATTTTTAATTTTATTTTGAAAGCGGACACCCCTACTCAAAATTCCTGGGTCCGCCACTGCGTACTACTCTCTATGTGTATATGTTGCGCGACAAACAAATTCTAATAATACGTGGTACGTATTTAAGACATTCGAATTTGAAATCTAAAGGTTGAAAATTAGTTATAGGATTGATAGATCAAAATCCTTATCCTTGTTCGCGTAATCGAAAAGCTAATTAATATGACTAATCTTGGAAGTTCTAGTTTACCTTGCAATATATTCGCACTTATACATGCACAAAGGCGCCACATGTATTCCTTGCAAATTCAGCTACCTTCCCTTTTCTCTCTTTCTTTCCCACACCTTGTTGAGAGAGGTACATGGGGTATTGACGACGTATATACAAACCGCCGAGAAAAGCCAAACAGGCTTGGCTTCACGTGGACGGACGTGTGTTGAATGGCCGTTTTGCATGCAAATCACCACTACCCAATTCTCCTACTAGACGTGTCTTTTAATTGCGTGACTGACTCCCACTTTCCCTTGCTTCACAAACAAACTATTCGTACATTGGATAAAAGTTGAAGTACAACATAGTTATTCAAATCGTAAACTTAGTCCTCAATGAGTGAATTCTGAGTCCTAGTTATAACTTTAAACTCTAATATGGTGCATCTAATTTGTTACCTGTATTACGATGAATCTTAACCATCAATTCTTGTTACTAATTAAAAAAATTATTGTATAAGGTTTATACAAATAATATCTAAATTTTAATTTTTAAAAATTAGAGTACAATGTCGTATTTTAATTTTTAATACTTTTTTTACTTTGTTATGCGGTATTTTTACCTGGTGTACGAATATAATCATCCAATATATCTACTAGAAGTCACAGCAAATATGTCTGGAAAAATGACTTTGCAGCTACCAATTCATTATAAATATTAGAAATTGGTTTGTCCCCCGTGAAGAAGAAGAAAAAAGTAGCTAGAAGAGATTCGGGAGGGGTTACGGTGCTAATTGTACAATAGTTAGCACCGTCCTAACCAAGGGAAAAACTACTACTAGTTTGAATTAATAGTGATTTAGCTTAGATGTTGTATTGATTTGATAATAATAAGTAGTGTTTTTTGCTAGTTATCACGGTGCTAACCCCTATCTAATCCCATCCTAAGAGATTCACATACGTGATTGCTTTTCAAGTTTCCAAGCCCTCCTTTTCATTACACCTGTCTGCCCCTGTTACCTTAGCAAAGGAAAGGAAACAGACATCCCAAATTCCCAATCCCAAGCTAAATTCATGCAAACCCACCACGTGGCCTCATCAGATATGCCCCATTATCCATTCTTACAGCACACTTGGATGGATATATGCATCTCATCCACAATAATTCTTCTTCAAAACATATATTATACATACATATACTACCCTCTCAAATGTAGGGTACGACTTGAAAATTATTTAGGCATGTGGGGTGGATTGGGTAACTGCAGATGATGGTTGGATGGGTTCAGTGGATTTACAACATTAAATTTAAAAAAATTACATAATTTAAATTGCTTTAAATTTCAAATGAAAAAAAAAACTGTAAACGGAATAACCTTTAATCAGTAACTCAAATGCACCATTTAGTTTACAATATTACTACTAGTCATTTTTCAAAAACAACAAAAATATTCCAACTAATAAATGTGGTCTAAGTCTAATGATAACTAAATGGAAAAAAAAAAAAAAACTAAAGATGAAGCTCCATCATAAATCTAGCTAAATCTCCCGAGTCTTCCAAGTCACAATCACTTACTCTAACCTAGCTAATTTTGAAGTCTTTAAACCACGAGCACTCACAAAATACCATGAAACCAAACAATAGAATAAGCCAAACTATTATATAAACTAGAAAATTTAACAAGAAATTTTATAAGATAGAGAGCATATCATATCTATTTCCATTCATTTATCATATCTATTTCCGTTCATTGAAACAAATTAGACTTTGCAATTATCTCAATAACCATAACTTTGTAGAATATATTCCTTCGAAATTGGGAAGGAAAGATAGTTAGAGGTTTTGACAATATTTTTATAAAAACTGAAGGGCTTTTATTTTAGAGTTTCATTTAGATAAAGCTATAGTTAGAGATTGGCCTAATTTAGATTAAAAAGTTAGGCGGATCATGGGTCAAGTACAATCCACCTGTATCCAGTAGCGTAGCCAAGATTTCGTATAAGGTGGGTCCACCGAGAAGAAAAATATACATGGTAAAATATTTTTTTGTTAATATGTATAATCTTACATTGAAATTTTTTGGTAAATTAAAATGCATTGGTAGTCGAAAATATCAAAAATATCACTCTGCGTGCCAAACAATTATTGATTTGGTTAGTTGTACCGGTTCAAATGGTGTTATTTGTCAAGAATTGTTAGTATCAATAACTCGAGTTGTTGATAGATGTTTAATAATAAATCTTACGTCAAGCAATAATTCATGATTTAGCTAGTCGTTCACTTTCGAATAATGTTCTTTGTAAAAGGCTCATTTAGTATATCAATAAATCGAGTTGTTGGAAGAGATTTAATAATATATATTATACTGTTTACTAGCATGCTCACTCATAAGAAAAGCCAACTTATACGAAATCGAAGTTTGCACAAATTTGTATATCATATGCTTAAGAAATGAGGTCGGCAAGATTCAAACACAAAAATTTTCGATCAACTATTCTCAATTAAACAAGACCAATTTTCGTTATCAATTAACTATCGTACCTAATTTAACCATTTTCCTCCCGAACGGGGACCCACCCTGTTACCCTCTCCCTCTGCCACTGCCTGTATACCCACCCCATTTTTAGTTAGTCGCCTATTTTAAGACTTATTCATAATATAATTGATGAATCGATTGCAAATGAATTTGTGTGTTAAATCGGCCAATATGCTCACTCTACTAGTTGTAATGGGAAAGAACATTTACATTGACACTTGCAGTTAGTCAAGTTCAATGTAGTCAAATTCGCGCTTTAAAACTTAAAAACTTACGATTTTACGTTTTTAGGTCTCTAAAACGCTTCCTCACAAAATCTCAGTTTTTATAACTTATGTAGTTAAAAACTCCGCTTTAAAACTTAAAAACTTATGATTGTACGCTTCTAGATCACCAAAACGTTTTTACGTAGAAAGTCGCTTTTTGCTAGATCGGTCAAGTTGATTAAAATGGTATTAATGAGCCATTAAGAGCAGTAAGTGAGCGGCTTGGGCGAGAACAATTAACACATTGTTTGGAAAGAGGTGCAACATGAGGGGGGTGCAAAGATAGAGGGGTAAATGTGGTTCCCAATAAATTTACCCTTGTTTGGTTTGTTTGTTACAGTTGTAGGGGGGAGCAAGGAAGGGGTAAAAGTACTATTTGAGTATGCCCCCCAAATTGGGGTGCAACGTGAGGGAAGGAGAAGGTAAGTTTTTTTTATTCTTTTTTTTGTTATGTATCAGAGAGAGAGGTGGGACCCGCAGAGAGAGAAGGGAAGAAATATGGAGGTTTAGGTTTTAGTTATTCATTTTTGTTTTAATTGTTTCACAACAATAATAATTATTTTATTAAAACTTATACCTTAAACCTCATTTTGCACTCTCCTACTTTTTCTTCCAAACAACAATTTGCACCTCAATTTGCACCCTCCTATAATTTGCTCCCTCCTATAATTTGCACCCCTATTTGCACCCTCCTCGAATTTGCACCCCCTTCGTTGCCAAACGGAGCGTTACGACTAGAACCAAAATCCATCGCATCAACTGTCCAATTTCATATCGAGAAGGATTGTGTGTCTTTCTTTCTCCATCATTCCCTTTTTTTCTAATTGATTTTTCGCTTGATTTCTTGTGAATTGTGATAGGACTCATAGGAGTAGGACGGCATCTGAGCCAAGTTGCTTACGAATGGCTCGACTCGAGAAAAACTTATTTGTAGTTTGGTTTGTTAGTAAATGAGCTCATTCTTATTTGGCTCATGAAACTCGTGAGCTAATTTGACTCGGTGGCATTAAGTTCAACTAGTGAGCTGACTAATTCTTGTGTTTTTTAGATTATATATCTCATAATAATATAATGGTTTAAGACTTTGAGTAAGTCACCAAATTAATTTAAAAGATATATTATCTATTATAGAATGATTAGTTACTAATTATTATTAAATAAAATTGTATGAATTATTTAAAAGTATAAACTAAATTATATAACACCAACATAGTATATAAACATGAGATCTATTAGTGATGCAAATTGACTATTATTTTTTTCATTTGCCACGTGTATCATATATTATTATGGTATTAAAATTATAAATTATTATAGAGATTAATTTAAGGGTTCAACCATTTAGATCTATAAATGAGCCGAGCTCATGTAGAGTTTATGAGCTCCTTAATAATGAGCAAAACTCGAACTCGGCTCGTTTCTTAACGAGTCAAGCTCAAGTTTACGCAAAACTCGATCCAATTTGACTTGTTAAGAAACAAGTTGAGCTCAAACTTAACAAAAATAAACTCGACTCATTTGCAACCCTAGATGAAAGTGCTCGATCTGCCTTGAATGTACCATTTACCAACATGCTATGGTACTCACCGGACACTCGATAAATGTATTTACAAAAAAAATGTTCGGTTATTGAATCGTGGGTTGAAAGCGCCAATACCTCATATTACCAATTTTCAAGAAAATAGAAGAGGGAATAGAGAGATCAAGGAATACGTCTTTGACCGATGGGAGAATGGAGTGGAGCTGATCAAACTTTTTTTTATTTTTCAAGTTAGCTAGATACCATGTTAATTAACAAACAAGACAAGAGTAGTCCTGCTCCAGCTCATCAACAATTTTAATTTTCAGTCAGCTAGATCCCATGTTCTTAGATTCCAACATAGATCAATCATTCTACTCTTAACTTCAAATAATATTCCACGTCGAAACATCTATCTTTTATATCTGCTTATTGAATTTTTATCTTCTATTCTCTTAATTGAATTTTTTCGGGGGTTTTTTTTGAACAAGTTTTTGGGTTCAGTTTGATGAATCACGTCGAACCTAACTTGCTTCGACTTAATCAGGAAAGGGAGGATCAATTCAATGGTCAAATAGTTAACTCTAAAAAGACCCTTTTGTTTTACATTATTAGTAGGGAATTTGTGCGTAATCTGGCTTGCTACTTTTAGTTTCCTTGAAAGCCTTGCAGAAATTCACCAGCTCGATCTTATTTCAGGAATAAAATTGGTGGAATGTAACCAACAAGATTTTGATTCAATGATAATACCATTAATTTTGAACTTGTAGATCACAGGTTCGAATTTTTTAAATAATACCAAATTAAATCTACATTGTTATATAACAATAAAAAATTGGTGGGAATGGACCAACGCTAAATTGATGATGATAATTATCTTCTCAAGACTTTTTCATTCCTTTTTTCATTTTTCTTGTAATATTAGGTAGGCTAGCCAGGCCAAATCTGAAATTATGAAAGTTCAGTTCTATAAAAAAATACGGCCACATTTTTTTATTTGAAAATTTAAAAAGAAAGCTTAAAGAAAAAAAATTCATAATTATTATTATAATAATGAGAGATCAACAAACTCACATCTCCTATCAATTTCCAGCTGAATTGATAACTCTGGTTGAAGCTTGTGTCACTACTCATATGTTGAGTCTTGTGGATATTTTTCTGCTAGTAATGGTTTACGGCAGTCAGCAAGCTAAGGGACCCCATCGCCGTACCTATTCATTGTGGCCATGGAAGCTTACTCTTGTCTGTTAGCCAAGGCAGTGGAGGAAAACCAAATACCTTTTTGTCCTCGTCTTTCATCCTCGTTGCAAGGTGCTGGAGATCACTCATTTATGTTTTGCTGATGATCTGTTAGTATTTACTAACTGATCAGTGAGGCTTGTTACTGTGATTCGTCGGTTACTGGCTAGTTCTATAGTGTCTCAGGGCTTCAATGTAATATGGCAAAATGTAGTCTTTTTTGTGCTGGTGTTTATTTTTTAGGTAGTGAGAATCGAGTTTAATTTTATGTTGTTTTTTTTTTTTACAAATATTACATGTAGTTCCATCTGATGTAAATGTTGGCTGTTTTTTGCTTCACTCAAACATGATGTTGACGATTAGAAGCTCATCTCGTCAAAACCATACTAATTAACCTTCAACCGTCATTAAATGAAGGGATGAAAACGATTTGGGGTGTGTAATTTAGCCCAATTTCTATGTTTGAAAATGGATCAAAAACCGTTCTTAGTCATTTTACACCATCACTTATATTAAAAAGCACTTCTCAATATTTTTCATTCAAACACTCAAATATTATTTTAATACTTCTCTAAAATCTCTATTCAGAAGCTGCTAATGCAAAAGTAACAGGAGGGCCAAGCTTTCTAATTTATTTCACTTTTACAAACATATAAATGAAATAAATATATGCTTTTGAAAAAATTTAAAAAAGCGGTAAGGATAATAATTGTACTATCTGAACCCAAATTATTATGGGTCACCCAACCTTCTAGTTTTCTCTACATTAGGCTCATTGTATTGGGTATCCAAAAGAAAATGACAACATAATACTAATGTTATTGTTTACATTTAAAAATAATTTGGCCTTGGATATTGCCGGCGTCGCGAGATTAACGGCGTCGGTGATAAACAATTTCAGCGGTGTTGACACCTAAG